AGCTCCATCTTCTGAAGTGCATAATTCACTAGCTACATTATAAAGCAGTCAGGACCTCATGTTCTTGGCACATTTCCCTTTGGTTCAAATCATTTAAGATCATCAACCACAGATGAGCAATCTCACCTACCAGAAAGTGCAGGGGACCTAAAAGAGAGGTCTCAAAACTTAGTTATAGCCATTGTCAGAACTCATTAAAATACACCTTAGACACCACTTGGGAGTAGAGGGACAGTCAGAGAGGCAGAGAAACATAGTACCATGAACAATAAAGAATATAAAAAGAATGACATGTAATACAATACTTTTAGGAAAGTGATGGCCAGAACTAGCTGCATGTTGTAAAAGCTCACAATGAACAGAAACAAAGGGAGCTAAGGCCTACATGTTTTAAAAAAGGCAAAACAGTTGCTACAAAAGACATTCCTGGGGCTGGAGAGGTGGCTCAGTCATTAAAGGATAAGGTCACACACACACAAAAAGACATTACTGTATCAATGGGCAAAGGACAAATCTGGAATATAAAAACAATAGTTTAATAAGTGAATACATTTGTTTTAAACCACTCAAAGTTCATTACTGTTTTGATATAGAGAAATCTAGCTAAACTCACTTTTATTTTTAATGGTTACAAAGAATGTGTATACACAAATACATATAGAGGAAAATGCACAGCTGATAAAGCAAATGGGTAAGAATCAATGTCAACAACAGGAGAAAATCTGAATTAAGCTGGTTTGAGATCTCTTTCAGGCCATACAATGAGCCAAGGTTCTGGAAACTGTGATCCAAAGTCAGATGCCCTCAAGTGACCTGACTGTCCCATTACAGCCCATCCTGGCAAAAGGCTCCAGCTCATTAATGCCATTTTAGAGTACAAGAGACTAAATCAGCAGTAATATTTTTAGACTGATTTTTAACTTTCTCTACTTTCACCCTTCTCTCTATGCCAGGTCCCTGGATTTTCAGCTGAGTCATTGTTGGAATTTTCTGAAGCCTCACTCTCCAAGTGTCTATAGGTGCCCAGATCTGATGGCAGCACTGGCAACAGCAGCAGGGACTGGCACTGGATGTCTGCAGTTTGCAAGACACACTTCTCAGCTCAACCTCACAGTGGAAGTGGGATTAGGCCCAGGACACCATCATCAAATGCTTTTTATCTAAGAGTAGTCACAGAGATATCTAGACTAGGAGCCATTATTTCTAGCCTAAGACACAGCTGTGTACTGGAAGTCTTCTTTCCTGTATGTACCCTTAGTTCTGAAGCTGCTTGTAGAGAGTTGAAGCAGATGTGGGTCCAAGAAGTCCATATTCCACATAGAAGCCTAACCCTATTTTGAACGCTGCCTCATAAACACTGTTTGAAAAAGGTTAGGAGAGCAGAGAAAGATGCCAAAGTTATCCCAGGCTGACTGAACCTGTGGATCAATGGGGAGCTCTGCAAATGACAGGGCACAGGGAATACTCCATTGAACTGGTTAACAGGACAAAAACCAAAGATAAAAATCAAAGAGGGTGAACAGGTTAATCCCATGAGACTTCTAAAAGGGAATTAGAATAGACAGGACATGTCCTCTGGCATCCTTAGCTGAACATCACACTTGCCTACTGGGCTTCTGCACAAAATGGTCATTAAGAGTCCTTTTTTCCAAGTCCCTCAGGTAGATTCAAAAAGTCCCTTCACTCTCCTGCTGAGTAATGCTGCACACAGAAGAGTCATAGGGGGAAGGCAGAGAGACAAATCCAGCGGGTGGTTAAGCTGATGAACTGAGACCAAAGGTGGAAAGCAAGTGGGAACTGTCTGCTGAGTGCCCTCACTAAGAGATTTCATCAAGGGAGCACATCACCTCTGGCTACACAGCCCCTGCACTACATGAGGTTACCTATGTTTTCTTGTCTAACATATTAAGGTTCTGGTCACAAGAAAGGGGTTAACAAGAAGAACAAGAGTTTTAGAACAAAAGACACCAGGTTTGGGATGCCGAGCCTGACAACAGGTACGTCCCTTTGGGTACTTTGCAACCTCTGTGAGTCTTTTCCATCATCTGTGCAAGCATTAAAATCATGTGATATGCTCAGCATAAAAAATTTTATATAAGGCAGCTATTTGTCACTCCATCCTCTATCCCAGGATACTGAAGAAGCTTCTACAGGCATGATATTCTATTCAAGGACTTTTCCTTTGATAGTCATGGTGATTTTCTTTAAAAACAATTCCAATTCCATTTATTTCCTTTGTGTGTGCCCATGTGTACTTGTGGTGTAGGTCAAAAAACAACTTTAGGGAGTTGTCTCTCTCTTCTACCATGTAGGTCCCAGGGGTCAAGCTCAAGTTGTCAGGCTTGGTGGCATGTGCCTTTACCTGCTGAGCAAATTGATCAGCCCTAGAGATTCTTAATGGCAATGATTTTATCCTATTCACTGATGCACCTTCAGTGCCCAAAACAGTTCCTGGCATATGGCTGGTGTTTAATTTCTACTAAGTGAATTTATAGTCAAGGTTTTCCATCCAGAGCCCTACTCTCCAACCTCACCCAGTGCACTGTCAAACACTTAAAAGTGGTAAAGATAGTGAGTTGTCAGGCTACAACTTACTGGAGAAAATAACACCGACCAGAGTCTAAGCAATAAGCTTGCACCCAGGTTCCACACAGAGACAATAAGATACCAGCCTGCTTGCAAGTATTAACTCAGATTTTCTAAAGCTATCGAACTATCTTCTCCCTTCCTCAAGGAACTGAGTGAGTTGGTTTTCAGATGGAAAGGCAGTGTGGGCACTGGGATGTGGGCTGAGTGTTCCTGCGTTACTGGCAAGGGTGCACGATCTGGCACCGCAGCTGGCTGGTGGGAGGGCTCCATCCTACTCTAGGAGATTGCACCCTCATATGGGCTTTCCACAAAGGCACAAAGCTTAGGAAAAAGGGAAGGCTACCACCACAGCTCCTAAAGGCAAACACAGCATGGAGATGAGGGATGGGTGTGTCTTTTACCCCCAGAAACCATGAGATACCCATGCTAATCTTGCCCTCACAGCCAGATCATTGCACTGGGGCCAGTCTCAAGTCTTTACAAATTCAGAAGTTCAGACTGCATTCCTTCCCTGATCCACAAAATCATGCAATATTTATCACTAAAGTGCTTGAGATGGAAAGTGAAGAAAAATATTCCCACTTTCAGAGCAATAGTTATAAGATCAGGTTTTTTAGAGGGTAGGGAAGCTGTCAGAATTATGCCTAGACCCAGCTTCATTAGACAAGGTCCTGCTGCATTGCCAGGTCACTCCTGAACAGACAATCACCTTCTGTTTAGCTGCTACAGCGTGCTCTCCAAGACTCAAGATGGACACATCTAAGTTTCTATGGGCCTAAAGCTGTATTTCAGAAGCTAACTTTGTAGCTAAGAGAAACAAGAGCCAAAGACGGGCCACACCCCAATCTGATGCCAGCACAAACCAGACACTGATGACCACACATAGGTACTCATCTCCTGTGTGAGCTCTTATTTTGCTCAGTTCCTGTGGGAGTAAAGAAAGGACGAGGCTTGTTTTAAAGAACAGATAAAAGAATGCACTGTGGCCTCCAAAGCAAAGGACATCCAATAGTGACACATTTCCTGGCCTAGGGAACAGAGTAGTTATCAACCATTCCAAAAAAGCTGGAGTTAGATAAAAGGCAGGTAGCACTCAAGATAACTTTACCTTCAAGAGCTCCTACCCACAAACCAATAAAAAAAATAAAAATAAAAACAAAAAAACCACCTTCCTCTTTCCCAATGCAGTTACCAAAACAAATGGGCACCGAAATGTCTAACAGACACTAAGAGTCCCAGACTCTGCAAAGCATTCTAAAACAACAACAACAACAACAAAAACCCCAAACCAAACAAACAAAAAACACCTGTACCAAATAGGGTGGAGGCCAGAAATCAACACAGAGTACCTTGCAGTCAGGATTGCTGGTCCTAGACTAGGGAGGTTATCTGAAAGGACAGCAGGCTTAGTGTACTCCACTATTAGCAACAACAGCAAAATGACTACAGGTACCCTAGTCCCCCATTTTCCCTTTTCCTATAGAATCTGCTAATACTTTTGTATTATAACACAACTTATATAAAGTAAAATATATTGATTTTGAGTAATAGTGCAGCATTTAAGTTCACAGTTCTTTCTGGACAATCATAAGGTTTTCATCTGGCCAACATTCCCCCAAATACCACAAGAAGGAAATAGAGATGTAATAGGAAGGTCTGAGTAGAAGCAGTTCAAAGGTATGTCAAGAATTCCCTGTAATTTGTTCCCATTAATCCTACACCAAGAAGACAAGGGATCCTAAAGGGGAGTGGCCCCTCATCTATTAGTTACCTTCAACACACAGACAAGACAGGGTGGAAGGAGAGGAGAGGACCATCTCCTTCTCTCTGAATCTGAGTTATCTTACCCTCCTCTCCTAGCCAGCCCCTTTCCAGGACTGAGGCTCTTAAACTAATGTTAATGCAATCCTAATGTTAATTCAAATAAAATTGCTCAGTTAATCTTCTTTGCTATGACTCAGGGCTACCCAACCTTCACATATAGCTCTCTAGTTTTAAAACCACTGAACAGAATCTGGTCATCCAGCCATCAGTCCCTTAAGTCCCCTCCCCCACCTAAAAGTGTTTTGCTTCATCATCTCCAAGACAGGCCTGGGCACCAGGGGCTTAGATGGATCATATCTGCAAAAGGCTGTAACCTTGGGGACCCTTGTCAGGGCCACCTCAGATGTAGACTAATAACTCCAGGGAATTTGTCAGGGCAAGTAAGAAAAGCCGTATCTGCCTTTACCAGCAGCCATCTATCTATCTGTCTTGCAACACTCACAGCTACCATCACTTGCAAAACAGCTCTGTGTTGCACGCATATAGGGAGTGATGCAAAGGGGAATAGAACAACTGTTGCTTTGGTATCTTAGCTCACCACCCCACTCCCCCTCCCCCAGCTAGTCACCTTATTCTCTTGCACTCACCCGACTGTGTGCTGCTCTGGGCTGAGGAGTCTGAGTCCTGAGTGCTCCAGGGTCGGTCCCAGCCAGTCAGTCTGAGTGATTGCAGGCCAAGGCACAAGCCATTTGCATCTGGGAGGCCACGGGGAGATTCTTGCGCAGAGGTGGGGAAAAGCATCCTGCTTGTAACTGTTTCTTCAGAGTCCTGGAAGTCTGTTTTGGAAAGGAGAACAGCAAAACAAACCCCTAGAGTTAAGGGTTGTTCCCCTCAATACTATCAACAATAAATACCACCAATAATAGTTTCCCCCAGGTTCAGGGGCAAGACATCCAAGCTGGCTGGATGCTGCAGCTGCTGCCTCTGTACTTTTGGGGGCGTTCAGACAAGAATAGTTGCCATATAGCCCCCTCCCCACACACACCCCTATCCCATCTGCATTACAGACTAGGTAGCATGTGATCGGGCTGCTGATGCTTCCCGCTGCCAGTGACATCAGCCGGCAGAGCCTAGCGATAGAGAACCGCATCATCTCTCACAGAACGGGGGAGGAGCAGGAGAGGACGACTGGGAGGAGACTTGCCTCCAAGGGAAAGAGAGCACGGGAGCTACTTGGAATAGTCCGGTGCAGTATGGTTAAGTCAGGGTTGTGAGGCAGAGCCCTCCCCCTCCAGTCTTGGCAATGGTAGCCAGGTGGCCCTCTGGCACACTGAAGTCTGCTCTGCTCTGCAAAGCAATGTGGACTCCTTGCTTGCACTGCTCTGCCCTCCTGCCACTCCCTCTCCCTCTGCTCTCCACCTCAAATCCCCAACCGCTCTAGTCCTGGACTCTCTCCAGCTGCTGGCTCAAGCCCTGGCTTTTGTAGCCCAACGTGAAGCTTCCCAATTCTGCTAACAAAAATAAGTAAATAAAAATACGACCTATGTGCTCCCTCCAAGTGGCCTCTGAGCAGCACCTTGACACAGCAGTGTTTACTGCTGAGGAATGGGATAACCATCAGAAAAACACTGTATATTTGGACCCTTGGGAACAACACCTGGTGCTCTGGGATTGTCTGGAGCAGCCTCTCACAGGAAAAAGGGGACAACTTTGGCGGGGGTGGGGTAGGGTGGGGTTGGTGGGTGGTAGGGAGGGTGGGTGGAATTTATCAAGCAATTCCAGGTACGGCTCACAGGGCCTGGCCCACAACTCACATATCAGAGTGAGATCTAGATAATCCATTTTACCCAGGCTCCCTTATACATCAAAAGGATAGATATTAACCACAAGTGGACACAAGGGCCCAGCTCTTCCTTTCCCTCTTGCAACTAAAGGAGCAGACAGACAAAACACTCCCAAAGTAGTATCTGACAAATCGCAATTTAAGAGAAACAATTTCAGATTATCATTATGCTCAGTCAGTAGTCAATACTCAGGAGCTCACATCATCTGCCTGTATTTGTCTTTTCAGGATCCCTCAGGGTGATGGCTGGCAAGCTATCAACACCACTGACACCTTTAACTGCTGTGCTGTCTTCAGAGGTGCTGCCCAGGATGAAGAACCTATTTCAATGACCCCCTCCCTCCCTTCTCTACCAGCTACAGCAACAAAATTCAACTTTCTGAGCTTCTGTCATTTCCTCTTTCCCAATGTTTCCTCCCATATCAACCTTTTCCTAATGTCTCCTTTCTCATAAGGGTCAAAGCTGCTTCCACCTCTACCAGGCTGGCTGGCAGCATTCCATTTGCCTATTCTCTCCCTTGTTGCAAGGAAAAGCAAGCAGGTAATAGGAAACATCCCAACCTGGAACTGATCCTGGCAGTCTGAGCCAGTTAAGACAGTGCTGTTAACCCAGGGAATGTCTGGTCCCAGCCTGCAGCATGCTCTGAGTGTACTTAGACAAAGGCCCTGGAGGGATGTCTCTGTGGGAGGGACTCCTTCCTTTGGAGGATCTTTTAAAGCTGTTGCTGGGTCATCCATCCATCTACATTATTCCTGTCTGGCTGTAGATACCCTGCTTGCTCCCGTCTCTGTGTGTCAAATCTGTGTCTCATCACTGTACAGGCTGAGCAAGAACGGACCCACACTAGAGCTGTCCCACCCCAAATGCTGCCCTCCTGTTACCTATGCCCACCCTCCCCCCAAGCTAAGGCTGTATTTTTAAATTAACTCATGTTTTTATTACAAAAATAAAATTTTTCTTTTTAAGCCACATATACCTGGGTCAGTGAGATGGCCAGCAAACCTGATGACCTGAGTTCAATTTCCAAGACCCACAAGGTAGAAAGAGAAATGACTCACGCAGCTGTCCTCTGATCTCCGCATGTGTGTCCTGATATGCACATGCATGAATGAACACACACACACACACACACACACACACACACACACACACACACGGCACAAACAGACTGCAAGAAAACATCAGGCTGAGTTTTCTGGAGATGCTCAAATATGGGTAAATCAATGAATGTTATAAATCACATAAACGGACTCAAGGACAAAAACTGCCTAGTTATCTCAATGGATAAAGAAAAGGCATTTGACAACATTCAACATCCCTTCATGTTAACAGTCCTAATTAGAAACTCAGAGTAAGTGGAGCAGTGGTAGCACATATCTTTATCCCAGCACTTGGGAGGCAGAGGCAGGCAGATCTCAGAGTTTGAGGCCAGCCTGGTCTACAGAGTGAGTTCCACCACAGCCAGGGCAACACAGAACTCAAAAAAACAAACAAACAAAAAAAAAAACCTCAAAAAAAAAAAAGAGAGAAAGAAACTCAGTAGAAAGAACATAGCTCAGCATAATAAAGGCAAGCTATAACAAACCTATAGCTAACATTGTTAAATAGGGGGAAACCCATGAATTTCCACTGAAAGCAGGAACAAGAAAAGGATGTTCACCTGCTTTGTTCTCGTTCAATACAGTGCTAGCAGTTTCAGCTAGAGCAGTAAGACAAGGACATGAAGGGGACAACACAGGGAAGGAAGGGGTCAAAGCAGCTCTATCTGCAGATGGTAAGGTTCTATATAAGATCCTAACAATTCCACCAGAAAACTTACAACTGTCAAATACTTGTAGCAAAGTGGCAATATACAAAATCAACACACAAAATCATTAGCCTTCCTAGATACCAATGACAAACTGGAAAAGTCAAAGGCAAATAACCTAATTCACAATAACCTTTAAAAAATAACTTGTTAGCCAAGCATGGTGGCACACACCTTTAATCCTAGCACTTGGAAGCAGAAGCAGGAAGACCTCTGTGAGTTCAAGGCCAGTCTGGTCTACAAAGGGAGTTCCAGGAAAGCCAGGACTACACAAAGAAACCCTGTACTGAAAAACAAACAAATAACAAAACAAAATAAAACGATCCCAAACAAAAAACTTGTTATATAAACCTAACCAAGGATATGAATGTCATATAACACACACACACACACACACACACACACACACACACACACAAAGTATAAAACACTGAAGAAATTGAGGAAGAACCAGAAGATGGAAACATATCCCATGCTCATGAACTAGAAGAAAAAAAAATATCAAAATATTGTGAAAATGGCTTACTTACTGAAAGAAACCTACAGACTGACTGCAATTCCAATAAAAATTCCAGTGACATTCTTCAGAAATAGAGCAATCTTTAAATTCATGTGGAATCACGAAAGATTCTGGAGAGGCAAAGCAACCCTACGCAAAAAAATGACATAGCTAAATGTATCACCACACCTGATCTCACCATACTACAGAGCCACAGTAATAAAAAAGACATGCTGATCAACAAAACATTATATAGAGGACCCAGATACAAGGCCACACAACCAATAGGCACCTGATTATTTATGAAGATGCCAAAAATGCACACTGGAGAAAAGACAGCATCTTCAACAAATAGCACAGAGAAAACTGGATACATACTTGTAGAATTAAATCTCTACCTCTCACCCTGCACAAAATCAACTCCAAATGCATCAAGGACCTCAACTTAAGATCAAAAGTGTGATCTTAAAAAGAGGAAAAGCATGGAGTACACTTTAACTAAGGGTTTTCAGGATAGGACTGTGATTGCTCAAGAAGTAAGGTCAATCAACAATTAAGACTTCCAGCCAGGCAGATCTCTGTGAGTTTGAGGCCAGCCTGGTCTACAAAGCGAGATCCAAAACAGGCACCAAAACACCACAGAAAAACCCTGTCTCAAGTGGGGGTGGGGGTGGGGTGGGGGAAGACTGCCTAAAACTCAGCAGCTTTTGTTTATTAAAGGAAACTCTCATTTAAGAGTCAGTCTAGAGAATGTCAGCTATGTATCTGATAGAAGATTAAATATTCAGTACAAAGGATTCAAGAAATGAAACATCAAGAAAACAACCCAATCAAATAATAGGCCACAGAACTGAATGGAGATCACAAAGAAGAAATACAAATGGCTAATAAACATTTTTTTGTGTTTTTATATTATTTCTGTTTGTTTTTGTTTGATTTTTGAGATAGAGTCTCACTGTGTAGTCCTGACTGGCCTGAAACTTGCTTGCAGACAAAGCTCAAACTCAAAAAGTTGAACCTGTCTCTGCCTCCCAAGTGCTAGGATTACAAGTGTGTGCCACCATGCCTACCATCTAATAAGTATTCTTTAAAATGTTCAATATCATTAGCCACCAGGGAAACACAAATTAAAACTACTTTGAAATTCCATTTAACTCTAGTCAGAATGACTATCATCAAGAAATCAAACAAATGCTGGCGAGGATGTGGGGGAAAGGGGAGCACTTATGTGTTGTTGTTGGGCATGTAAAAGGGTATAGCACCATAAAAACCAGTGTGGAAGTGTCTAAAAAAACTAAAAACAGAACCATGATCTACCTCTACTGTTGTTAGGCATATACTCAAAGGACTCCCTATCTTTCTATAGTGAATCATTGCACACCCATGTTTACTGCAGCTCTATTCACAATAGTTATGAAATGGAATTGGCCTAGATGTCCATCAACTGATGAACAGATAGTGAAAATGTGATGTGTCTGCGTGTGCGTGTGCGCGCGCACGCGCGCGCACTGAATTTTATATGAATTTTATTCAGCTAGAAATAAAAGCATTAAGTATAAAATTTTCAGGAAAATAGATGCAGGGGAAAATAGACTAAGTGAGATAACCCAAGCCTAGAAAGACAAATGCTGCATCTTCTCTTTCATGTGTGTATCCTAGCTTCAAATTTTTAGATTTGAATGTCTA